TGTTTCCAATAGATCGCCCTTAGCCAATAACTCACCATGTTCCTCTAAAGATGGAATTTAACTAAAAATTAAAGCAATTGGAATAAACCCTTCAATCATTTCATAATTGTGAGTTTTTACTAATAAAATTAGAGACTTTAAAAATATTTTTGTCGTTTAAAGATACCGTAAAAATTAGATAGCATATAAAATTAGGGCAGTACACAAACTTGATTGAATGTAGCTTAGTAAAAGAATCTATAAATATTTTAAAATGTGTATCTTGTAAAATAACTAAAATCAAAGTATTTAATCATTCTTTTGAAAGTGGTTTAATTCCAACTTGAACTAAACCAATATGTATATATTTAAAATTGTATTCTCTATGTCTTTTTAAAGCATTTTCAGAAAAAAAAAAATTGTTTCAAAATGTTTTGTAAGTTTTTTTTTATCTTGTTCTTCAGTTTTGATTGAGAAATTTGTTCTTGAAAATTTTGAATTTTGAAATTTGATAGATCTGGTGTTTATGAAGTTTTGAAAGTTCTCAATTATCTACTGAACCTTGAAAGTAATCTATGGTTTTCTAATGACTAGTTGTTGATACTGAGTATCACACAAAGAATTTAGAGATTTTATTAAAGTTATAGCTGAACTCAATATGAGCTGCCTACGTACCCAAAAGAGGGATCAAGCCATTCGTAGTTCATATTATAGAAAGAATAAGAAAAAAGATGTGTTCTAGGTCTTCTGGTTTCTGAGTGATGAATGAATCCTTGAATGAACGAGGAGCTCTTTATTTATAGAGGTTGAAGTCGGTCGATTTTCCTTTTCCTTCTTGACTTGATAATGCAGATTTTCTTATTTCCCGAAGTAGATAAAAATAACTTTCTTTTTTTCTCGGGGAATTATCTTTTAGGAATATTTCTCTTTTCCAGATAAGATTAGGAAATATTCCGCGAAGTCCGGATATAAAAACTGACATTGTAAATCAGTTAACAGGTCGAATGTTTTTCAGGTATGAACTATCGTAAACCGAGATCAATTGGGCGGATCTCGGTTTATACCGGACTAAACCGGGGGTGCGGAGTATACCACCAACACTAGTGATGACATTTTTTTTAGTCTCTGAGATACTTTTTATCAAACCTAGAAGAAAAGGTGGATCCTGACCTGGTTGATATTGATCTAAAACATGAAATGATTTTTGAGTAGGCTTAAAGAAAAGATTTATGACTCCAATTTTGTGTAGAATTAGGTTTTACACTCAGGAGAATAAAGTTCTTTTTCTTAGGAACTCAAAATGAGTTTAGTTAGAGATCAAACTTAGACCTAAGACACCTGTTCTGAAAATCTTAGTAAGACTACTAAGGATTCAAGTAGTAAGTAGACACTGTAGTAATCGATCTTGACATAAATGCAAAACATGGCGTCGAAATACCAAAAATGCATAGTATGATGTACTACAAAACCAATTTGACCATCTGAATATATATGACCTCTAATTATTTATCTCTTATCCCGAACCAAAGGCATGACTTTGATACCATAATGAAACGTCATACTACACATATTTGGTATGCCAAACAGAATTTACCAGAGGTTGATAGTTAGACTGAAAAAGTACCTTGGATAATCTAAGAGGTCACAAATTCAATGACAATTGGAACATATATAAATCATAAAGACTGGTTCAGGCCTAGGAGGATATACATACTTTGTCTCAGAATTTTCTAGTTATTCACAAAAAAATTATTAGAATTTTATACTTTATCTAAAATAAAATAATTTAGCCAAACTTAAAAAATAAACATCTTTTGCAGTAATGCTAAAGATTCATTTTCTAATAATACAACAAAAATAATTGTATATTTAACATAATGATTTTAACTTTATAAAAACATTTATTCGTTTTAATTGTTGTTTTAATCTAAGTATCGAAAGAAAAAAATAGAACTTAATTAAAAATAATTATAAGAGTAAAAGGTAAATAATTGTATTTATTGATTTGAAAAAAAAAAATAAAGAAACAAAAAATAATTATAGAAAAGAAAGAAAAACTTGAGCCACTATACAAAGCAAAAAGATATAATTACTTAATGGAAAGGTGATAAAAAAATATAATAAAGTTATTTTAGAAAAATGAAAAATGAAAAAAATACATTATGGAATTCAAATTCGGGTTGCCAATAGCAAAAAAAGTTTTGAAACCAAAATAGTTGATGAGTTCTTAAAGATTGTACAATGCTTGCACAAATCATTTATATTATTTAGTCTGTTGTACATGGGTAGATTTTGTGTGTCCAACCTTATATATTACAGGAAAGACAAATATGCTAATGAAGAGTGATATGATGTTAAAAAATATTTGTGCCCAGATTAGTATAAAACATTTCTTTGGTAAAATTGAATTACATAACTACACATTTACTTACAAAAAATTAAAAATCATTCGTCATATTTTGTTTAATGTGGGTTCATTTCTTACCTAAGGTATTATGTCTAGACGTACTCTAGTTTGCCTTTTGGAAGTGTCATTGATGCTTCCATGGTCAAGATTAACTGTACCCAGACCAAAAAATAATGACATCTGTATATCACGTCAGATCACAAACCACACACTGAAAATAGTGAAAAAATTATTTTAATATGGTAGTTTTAGAAAACTGATGAAATTTTCGACAATGGTGTGTGCATGAACGCGGACTATCTATCATATATCCTAGAACTAAGTTTGTAAGGTTTTAGAGCTGTCTAAAGACGATTAATTATAGTTTCGATTTGATTATGTTGTCTATTAATCCATTATGAATGCTATATGCTGTTTCTTATCCATCAACTCTCTCTAAGACTCTCATATATAGTTGGACCAAAAAAAAAAGACTCTCATATATCACTCCCAAGATTATGAAGGGATTGGAACATAAATATAATTAAAACATATATTATGTTATATACAAGATGGTTGATATAATTAATGATAAACGCAAGTATATAGTAGACTGGTAGTCAAGAAAAAAATTTATGCAAGACAAACAATACACAAACAGGGTAGAAAATGATTTCCAATAGAAGCAAATGACTAAAGCTTTTATACATTACAAAGAATTTGAAAAAAATGTACGGGGGAAAATACCACCTCTTTGGCTTATGTAGATCTGCCACTGGTAGTGACATGAAATACTAGCTAGAGATATAAATCACAACATTCTTTATTTAGCTGATGAGCCCAAATACAAAAGCCTCATTTATGTTCCCAATTATGCATTAAAGATATTAAAGCTGCTAAAATAGTTTCGCGTATAGATTCTATTTTTTTTAATAATATGATATTATATATTAAACCGGATTACAAATTCAACCAAATCAAAGAACCCGATAGGTCTGGTTCAGAAAGCTAAACCAAAATACAAAAAGAATTGAAGAAAACGAGCTTAAACTAGGATTTGACCTTGACAGGTACAGAGAGTCCTAGCGCCGCGAGAGAGCAGATGCAACCTCGGTTACCCGCCGCCGTGAAGGAGACTCCGCCAGAACATGACCTCAAGACAGACAATAGATCAGAAAACCTTCATTGCTGAGAAGACACTCGAAGCCCGAATCGGAACAGGACCTCCGATAGAGACAAAGAGGAAGCCGGAGCTACCGTCGACATCTCAAACCCTCAACAAAGACAAAGACACTGCACAACTCACCGGAACACAGATGATAAGAAAGGCAAGGGAAAAAGGGCTGTTGTTAGGAGGCTTACCAAGAAAATTCTGCTGCTTTGCTTCACCGCTGTCCCTAAGTGGATCCACATCCGCAAGCAGCCACATCCGACAGATACCACACGCAAACTCTGACCCAAGGCTTTGGCTTTGCCACACCAATGCGCCAAGTCGATCCACCACCGCAAGCGTCTTAAGAGGTACTTTTCTGGAACACGTCCTCAATACCCATATTGGAAACCCAAGAAACTGCCTCGGGGAACAGCCAAGCACCACATCCAAGCTTTCATCGCCTCCAACTCACACCAGAGAAGCTTCTCACCATGGATGAAGCACCATCGGTTGACCAAAAAGGGGTAGATTTCTCGCGGCGCCGGAATCGCCCACATCCTTTATTTGTTGCAGGTCGAGGACTCCTTCCCTGAATTCATTTTCCACTGTCTGAAGATAACGTGAAAAATTTACAATTTATGAGTTTGGAAAACCCGTTGAAGTCTGAGAATGGTAATTCGAGTAATGAAGAGTTTTCTCAATCGTAGGTGGAAAAGCCAACCAGAAGAAAGAAAAAATTTAGCAAACTGACCATGATGAAACTTGGGTGAAACTAAATGGAGATCCGAACCTGTTGAAAAATTAGCAGATGAGTTATGGTTAGGGGTGAAATGCCACTCTAACCCATAGCTAGCTGGTTCTCCTCGAAATGCATTGAGGTGCAGCAGTTGACTAGATATCTGAGGCGTGAATGCAAGATGCCAGCGGAATGATCGCCCGGATAGAGGCTAGGGAGGAGGAACCCCTTCCCAAGTTAGTTCTAGGGAGAACTAGAAAAAAATTTGAGTCGCCGCACATGACTTCACGCGCCCAACCCTTCGATGAAAGTTCCCTAACTAATTTGTTGACGACCGATCAGTGTTTAGTTGCTGGCTAGATGCGCAATCTCCATCTTGGCTAAATACTTCATTCAACATACTTGGGTTGTAAGTGTCTATGTATTTTTTTTTCATTGGTTCTTTGATTGCAAGTCTACAATCAGTTCGGATATTTATGTCGATTCCAGTTTGGTTCGGTGGAACGGGTATTTATATCGATTCCGGTTTGGGTCGGTGCCTTTCTATTCGGTTCCGGTAATTTTCATATACCGACTAGTACTATGTATGAGTTTTTGAGAAGTTGGTTAATAAAAGACTAGTCGAGGAAAAAACAACACACGTAAAAAGTGATACAAAGAAGTCAAGAGTGACATTCGTTACATATCTCCATTGGCTTAAACATATATATTGACAAAAACATCTTTTCCCATTTCTCATTTCCCATTTCTCCCCTCGTTTTCTCTCCCAACAACAAAACCCTAAAAATCATCTCTTTTTCGCAGATTCAGTTTCGGACCTCGAGCAACGAACGCTTTGATTCACCCATCGATCATCAATTATCTTCTTCTCCCAACAGGTCCTTCCTCTTCTCTCTGTGTTCTTCGATTATCGATGCAAAGTCATGTTAATCCTTGGACTCTCGATTCCTCCTCGCTTTTCGTGATTTTGCTTTCATTTATACAGAATTTTGTATTCCTCACGGATATATCATGAATTGCCTTCCTCAAGTCACCTTCTCCGTGTCTTGAACCATCAAAACCTTCGGGTCAATTAGTTGTTTCCCAGTTTTTGCTTGCCCCTAATTCACGTTCTTAGCTTTTTTACGTAATTGGCTTTTCGAATGTTCATCCCTTTACCTTGTTTCACTGATAAATAAATAAATAAAAACTGAGTTGAATTGGTTCTCTTTTTTCTTGTTTGATTGAATTTTTTTTTTTTGGTGTGTTATCAATCTGATCTTGTAAACGCCTGAAAAAGCTAATTTTTTTTATCTTGTATTTGTTCTCGTCAAGAGTATGCGAATATTAGTTAATAGATGAGCCTGACTGGTCATCTCTCATTCTTAATTTGCCAATTTCTCTCTGAGAAAAGTATAAATTCGTAAAATTTATCCCAAAATCATCATTTTATATCGTTACGGCATATTTTGTTATATTCAAGTTAACTTTCTGCACATTTTCTTGCAAAATCTCTTCTATGATTTTTTATATCTTTCGTTCATAATATTTCCATTTTATATGGTTCCGGCTTATTTTGTTGTAACATGTTAGTTGAATCATAGGGGGCGTGTTGTGTGTTGTAGTCTTAATAGAAGTAGTCTCATGTTACCTTTGCGAGTATCACATTAACTATTTGCTCATTTCTTGATGTTTTTTAGGGTTGTTATGTTTTTTGCAGAGATGTCTCCAGCAACAAAATCAAAGTCAAAGGATAAAAAAACGGGTAAAGAAGCTCAAAAGGCATCACCAAAGCCTGCACTGTCGATTAATGGTAATAGCAGCATGGCAGCTAGTGCCTATAACCCGGTTCTAGGAACATTTCAAGTTCTTGATTCGTTCTCGGTAGCTTCTGCCTCACCGCTACAGTATGGTCGTTTCCGAAGTATAGATGAGGCAGATGTAAACGGGGTCGAGTCCGATTCCGTTTCGAACAATGGTAGTTGCTCTGGCGAGTCGGAAGATCACAAGGAGAAAACAACTAATCTGCCCCTCAGGCAGGAGGTGATACCAGGTTCGAGTGCAGACAATGACAAGCGGGAAAAAGTTCGCCAGAAGAACGAGAGAAAACATCAACGCCAGAAGGAGAGGCGGGCTCAGGAGTTGTATGAGAAGTGTAGCACATATCTCATGTCGAGAAAGCTCGAAGCCCTTACACAGCAGCTTGTGGTAATGGGAATATCACAAGAGCATGCGACGACGGCGTTGATGATGAACGAGGGAAAGGTAGAGGAATCTGTTCATTGGTTGTTTGACAGGGGCGAGGAAGAAATCGAGAAGCAAAGCATTCAGAGTCCTGGGAATTTGAAAATAGACATAACAGAAGAACTAGCTAGGATTACAAAAATGGAGCAACAACTTAAGTGTACAAGGCAGGAAATAGAGCGTGCGGTTGTTCAAGCAGAGGGTGATTTGGACAGAGCAGAAGAAGTCATGAAAGGCACAAAGTCTGAAGAATTGTCTTTGCCAGTGAAACAAGACGAGTCTGGAAATCATGTTACAGCCAGTAATGGTAAACTTATAGTAGGGATAAGTTATCAGAATTCGGATGCAAAAAGGTCAGAAACACAGCCTGCTCCGTTACCAGCTTTACAGCCAACAAGAGACGACAAGAACTTTAACTATACAAAATCACCCCCCACAGCAGAACCCGTAAGTAAAATGATTCAGCCTATGAAGCGACCCCAGCCGAAATTGGATTGGCCAAAACCACAACAATCTGCTGTTTCTTTGGTTGATAAAAGGTGGACAAATACAGGAAATGTTCCTTCTGCTTCTTACTCTTTGCCATCATCACCGTCACCTCAGCCTTCTGTGAGGGTCGAAGCTCGCTATATAGCTAGTGGAAATGAGTTTAAGAACCCTCAGCAGCAGCCAGCAATTAGGGAGCCAGTAGTATCGATGAGGCAGCGCCCACAAGTTGTAAGCACGAATCCTGTTCCAACTTCAAGCATGAGTGCACCCCCTACCAGTTGGCTCCCTGCAGCAACCATAGAGATCATGAAGTCAAATGGGTTCATACAAACACACAACATCCCTAGCGCGAGAAGCCCGAGTCCAAACAATCTGAATCCAAATCAGATCTACCAACAACTTCAATATCAAAACCAGAATCGATTCAGTAGCAATAACCACCCAGTGGATCCACATGGTGGTATCACTCGAGGGAATGGCAACTTATGGACCAGGAACAACAACACTGCATCATCTCCATCCATATCTGCTGCGTCGTCGTTGGGACTGTTCTCGACTGTTGGTTCAACAGGAACATCAGGTGCATCATCACCAATAGATTGGAGCTCTGGTGGTTCGGTCGACTACACAAGCATAGACTGGAGTCTAGATCAAGGTTTATCCCAAAATACTAGATTCAATGGGCTCTGGTCAGGGTCAAAGAGCAGCAACCACATGTATGATGCAAACATGAACAGGTATAGTCTAAATGGTTCCATGGGAGGCCGGGTCAATAGCAGCATCGGTGTATCTATGGAGAATGTGGGTGGTGGTGTAGCCGTGGAAACACAAACAGCAACTTCTCAGGATTGGACTTCACCATTTGAAGGAAAAGATATCTTTAGCTTGTCTAGACAATATGCATCTCCTTCTCTGTAAGAGCAGAGGAGTTACATATGGAAAATGGAAGTAATAAAACAAGAAAAAGAAAAAAACACAGAAAAAATGGTTTCATGACTTCTCTGTTTGGTTTATTATTCGTGAATATGTCTTTTCCTCTTTAACTTTGAATTTATGTCAAGAGCATACAAATCAAAATCTCTCAAACAATGAAGTCTCTACCAATACAGAAAAAGACTATTTGGCCTGAAATTTGTTACATCTCATTGGAAATCTCCAGGCGAGAGTCAGAGGATGAGGTTGTAGCAGTTGCAGAAGCAGGCTCTTTGTACCATTCATTATCCTCCCGAGTCATAAAGTTTGCTTCTGCGATGAGTTTACTTCGAATTAGTTCCATACAATGTACAAAACTCATAAGAGCAGAAACCACTACTTGTAAATTACAAGAGAAAAGCATACCAGACAAGAATACATTCTTGTATGCTTCATCGTCATATATAAACTGCGGAGGATCTGGTGAACCGATACCAACAATGGTGCTTCCACTGTTAGAAAAGTTAGCAACGCATGTCAAAGTTAGCACCAGTACAAACCCAAGAATCGCTATTCTAGCAAACAGTACCCAGCACATTATATAAAATCTTTAGCTAGCTGATTAAGATGCGTTTTGTTAAGACATATACAATGGCAGCATCATATTATATTTACTGTAAGTTACTGTATACTCAATTACTAGATGAGCTACTATGCAATGCGTATGATTTCACGAAGTTTCTCAATGCTGTCACAATAGAAAGACATAGTTATAGCAAAGGCATACCTCCCGGACATAAAGACGGCATCATATTCCCCACGACCAGATGCTATTATACGTTGCTTCAAGCGTCTAAGAGATGGAAGAACTTGAAATGCTGGCAGTTCTGGAAATGTCAAAAAGTGACAGATAATGTAAGTCACTGGTCCGTCCGTGTACCAAACTGAATCTTGAAATATAAAGATGTGATTATTTTATAGGGAAAAGAAGGAAGAAATGACAGATATATATATATATATATATATATATAATATAGATCTTTACCCAAATCGTTTACGCAAATGCTTTGAGAAACACCATTGCTGGTGACATTCTCCAGTAAAGTCAAGGGATCAATGTTGCTCGTCTGATCTAGACGAAGACGCTGAAAAATAAAAGTTTTAGCCATGAAAATCCTGAAAAAGCTTCCAGAAGTAAAAAAAAAATATATCCATCATCAGTTTCAGTAAATTATACTTTGTAAACTTCAGCAGTGGAACATGCTTCTCGTGGCTTTATGAGCACCATGGGAAGATCAAGAGGAAAAGGAGAAGGAAGGTCTTGGACAATCTGGATTAGAATTCAGATAAGTATGCTGCATCATGTAAACAACTCTAAACCCCAAAACTAATGGATGCAAGAGAACAAAACATACCTCACCTCTTCCTGTACAATATGCAGCTCCATGTGAGAAGAAAAATGGAATATCTGACCCAATTTCACTTGACCAATCTTGGAGTTCCTTCTCAGTGGCAACACCTCCATTGAACTGATTTGCCGCCCAGAGTGCCGTTGCAGCATTACCACTTCCACCACCGAGTCCAGCCCCTGTAGGCACCTTCTTGTCTAGATGAATCTGTCCAAATAAGAGAGACTTTTAGTTTTGGTAAGAAGATGCAATATAGGCAAATGGCCATACATTGTTGTCTAGTGTTTCTTTTACCCAGAAGAACTTGTTACTACCAGTTTTCTTCCTGTAAAGGTTTAGTGCTTTTATAATCTGCAAAACAAGAAGTTGCAACACAGCCCAGAGAGGATTAGAAATAATGCTTCACCATCCACTAGAACAATGTACATCATTCTTACCAGATTTCTCGCATCGACAGGGACTCCAGCTACGTTGGTAGAGAGACGATCTTTGGATTTCGATGGTGACAACGAGAATTTAATTGTGTCACCTAAGCTAATCACCTAAATCAAACGCGGAAAAGAGACATCAAGACAACAAATGAGAAATAACGAAAGAAAGCTTAAACTTTTTTGAAGAAGAACTTACATGAAACAAAGAGGCTAAATCATGAAAACCATCTTCCCGCTTGCCGGTTATCCTCAAGAAGACATTGATCTGAACAGTATAAAGACAGTGTCTTCAACCTTGCAAGGTAGGTTCAAGAAAGAAGAGAAAATGGTTCAAGAAAGTAGGTTGAAGTAAGTGTCTTTAACCTTGCAAGGTGAGAAGAGCGTAAGCCTTGATAAAGGAGCTTCTTTGTCAACATCATCGCCTATCTTATTAAGCCTCTCGTCAGGATCAAACACTATCTAACATCACCCAGCCACACACATCATCTCAAAAACATTACATTACATTCCTTCAAAGTTTGAAATTGTGAAAAACCAAATTATGAATGTAAAGAATCTCAAAACTTCAGATTTTTTTCCAGAATGTTACATTGTATTCCTTCAAGGTTTTGGAGGCAAAAACAATAGATTCAAAATTTTAAGAACCCAAATACTAAATGAACACGAAGCAGCTACGCAGCATCAAATTCAGATGCTCCCAATTTTATTCAATTTTGAGCCAAAAAATTGAAACAGAACGTTATTCAGCAAAATCTGAGTAAGCGATAAAATAAAGCATCAATCTTTATTATTTATTTTTCAATAGAATAGGAGATGCAAAACAAACACTAAATGTTTCATATTCTGACCTAAATTAATAAAATCCAAATACAGAGGAAGAGAAATGAAATTCGAATATCGTTTACCTCTACTTGCTTTCTGGAAGCTTTAGCGGAAAGACTCAAAAGGGGCCGAAGATGCTTCGTAGTAAATGAAAAAGAAGCAGACGAAGAAGAAGTAGAAGACGAAGAAGTGAGACTGGTTTTGAAAGAAGTACAAGTGAAGTTGAGAGATGAGATAAATGGAGGAGACGCCGTTGCCATAGTTTTTTCTCTCTTTGATCGGATATGCGACCTTTTTTCTCTCTTATGATTTTATTTCGTCGACGTCTTATATCAAGTGTTATTAAAAACCGGACCGAACCGGTGACAGATCGGATTTAACCCTAAACCAGGAGTACAAATGGGTTTTTTTTTTTGGCAAATCAAATATATTGACCTTATAAGAAGTATAAAAAATACATAAATCGTTAACGCAAATCTATTATAGTATTTGCGAAATGATTTGAGTTGTGGTTCAATGCACAACTTTTGATGTCGTTTTGATTAATGAAATTCTTATTTTGATTAATGAAATTCTTATGTTCTGATTGGTCAGCTAATGTTTTATTTTGATTGGTTGATATAAATTAATTATTATTATTTTTTCTGTCGTTTTGGTAGAAGATGTTAAATTACACTTATGCCATTAATGAAAATACTCTATTATGATTGGTCAGTTGATATTCTGCAATTAAAAAGAAAATCTGATTAAAAAGAAATATTTCATAATTAATACACAACAAAACATGGAGTAGAGCACACAGAAAATATATGGCATAATACCATTTTTTGTTGACAATAAAAATATATATATTTAACTGTTGATTGGTTAACAAAAAAATAACACAAACTATAATGGTTAGTGACCCGAATTCTTATTTCATACGTAGCAAATTCGAATCTTATACTAATTTAATTGTATTTTTTTTTCTAAATTTCTCTCTTTTTAAATCATTTTTTTAACCAATCGTGGATCAGATCTAGAGAAAAGTGAGCACAAACTCATGTTTGTGATAATTATAAAGAAATAGTTGATCACATCAATAATGAACAAATAAATAAGGAAACACATAAACCCGGAATCGTTTTCTATATAAATAAATATTTTCTGCCTCCGCTTATATTCATTACTATTTTTTTTTACGTTTTGTTCTAGAGTTTTGGCGATTGGTTACTCTACATGGAAATACAGAAACATTATACATACCTTCCAATATATCATTTACACTGAATGAGATGGTAGCTGTGTTGGTTAGGTGCTTTGTCCGTTCAGCGAAAGCTCACGGGTTTGAGTCATGGAGTTAGATTTTTTTAATTTTTAGATTTTTGTTACAATTCAATGTTTGGAAATAATTTTTATTTGCTAAATATTTTGCAAACGGAAATATGTCATAATTTCTTTTGTTATTATCTAGAATGGAATTTTTACATTTTTTATAGTTAATAACTATAAAATTCATGGGAAGATAATATCGTATATAGAACAAGAATTACCTTTTAGTATTTTTCATAAAAAAATAAACTTAGGTTGTTTACACGTATAAATATGATTGTTTTAAATATTTTGCAAACGGAAATATGTCATAATTTCCTTTGTTATTATCTAGAATGGAATCTTTACATTTTTTATAGTTAAAAACTATTAAATTCATGGGAAGATAATATCGTATATAAAACAAGAATTATCTTTTAGTATTTTTCATAAAAAAATAAACCCTAGGTTGTTTACACGTATAAATATGAGTGTTTTAAAACAATCGTCTCATAATTTACAGTTTAGTTTCTCTGTTAGAGTTCTGTGTTTATTTTGCTAGGGTTTTTATAATAGCATTAACTTTTTGGATCTCTTTAAAAAAGATTTATCATGTTTGTCTATTTGCATGCAAACCTAACCATGTATTCGTCTAAGTACAGCTTTGATCATCCATCGAAAGTCATGATTACTTGGGAAATTTCGTCTACTGCTTCGGGTATATATCTAGCTCTCCTCAAATTAATAATAATATATATGCTCTCTACGTTTTTAATGATTCTAAAATTTTGTTCGTCCATAGGTTTTGATAACCAGGCTTATGCTCGCGAGTTAAGATCTATGTTGAATTCATATCGCCAGGATATGGATCAAAAAGAAATATCTGATTATCGTTACGTAACTCCAGTTTTCGTCGATATCACAAAAAAGGTTGTTGTGCTTTTTTAGGTTATTCATGCAAGTTATAATACTTATTAGTAATTATTTTGTATTTTTAGGTTATCCATGCAAGTTACTTATGGATCTTGCTATCGACGAGTGGACCTTGCGGACATATAATCCTGTAATCGAAGGTTCGTAGTACTGTATATTAATCTTACAATTTTGTACCTTTCGTAGTGTTGTATCTTAATCTTACAATTTTGTATCTTTACTATGTATTAATCTACGAACGTATTCATTTTTTATATAGATCTTGATTCTGCGTATTATATATCTATTCTTGATCAGAAGTTTTTGATCAAAGGAGGTATTTCTGCTCTTCCTGTAATATAATTTTGTTAATGATGTATATTAATTTTTTTTATATGTGTTTATGTTTGTTCTGATGTTCGTTTTGTGCATTTAGGTTCTGATCATGTTAATTCGAGCGATCATGCTCACAAGACCTTTCTTTGGGATTTTGCGAGGAAGGCTTGGATTATAAATAAAGAATCTAATGGTTTCAATGGTTTGTTTTTTGCTTTGAGCACCATTTTTTCCCTTATTTTAATATTTATTTTAAATTCTAACTACGTTGTTTTTTTCATATGTTTATCTATGCAGAAGATAATGAGTCTGATAATACCGAGGTGCTATCTGGCCATGGTACTGATGATGATTATGGTTTTGAGGATTACATGGGGTCTGATGCTGAGTCGCATGATGATACCGATGATATGGACCAAACAGATGAATATGATTCTGAAGATGATTTTATTGACGACGGTGAGTCTTGTGAAGGATCTGATGGTTCAAGTGATAACTCGGAAGGTGATAGTGGTGATGATGAAGATGAAGATGATGACGATGCTGATTCGACTGATGATGATGAGGATGATGATGAAGATGTTATGTTGGATGATGAGACTGAGAGTGACGATGATAGTGAGGATCACCAAAACGTCGAACCGAATGATATACTCATCGAAAGAATATTAGTATATCGGGATACCCAGAATTTGGGTGGTGTACTTATACAGTTTTCTCTTGGTTCAATGTGTTTTGGGAGGGTGGTGTGTCCCGTTAGAGACCTTCCAAAGATGTTGACTATCTTGTAAGTTTACGGACCTGGTGCATATGTTAATTTTTAAATCGTTCTCCCCCTGGAGCTCATATTATCGGATGACAAGTATTTATTATATTATGAGAAAAAATATTATAAAATTGTGTTGATGTCTAATTGACTGTTTTATTCACAGGGTGTTAAAATTCAGGCCACTGTTAGAGATGGTGAGATCGATGTTGCAGCGTCTCGCATAGATGTTGGTAGTTGGATCATTATCAGTCGTTGTTCTGTTATCAAGTGTGAGGATAGTTGTAGACTGATTTCTCATAGATACAAAATATTGTTCATACCATCAACTATCATTGACAAGACTTCACGTGGAGTGAAAACGCTTATTTTGACTTCGTTGATTTTCAAAGGATATTGGATCGTGCCCATGATGATGACTATTTAGTTGGTGTGTTTATTTTCGATTTAGATATTGAATTTCGTTATTATTATGTTGCTGATGTTAATATGGTTTAGTTTTTATTGTTTATGAAGATTTTATAGGTCGGGTCTTAAATGTAAGTCGATCTGGGACGTGGTGTGGTTTACTCTCTGGAGAGCATCCTGTTCCTTTCTATGGCAGTCCATGTAAGGATGTATATGATTCCGAAAAATGGGGTGCATATTCAACTGTAACATTCTGTCTGAGGGATAAACGGTACTGTCTGCTGAGTGTTTTTAAATTGTATATTATCGTTTTATTTGTTCTGTCTAGCTGATTATGTGTGACGTGTTTTAATTTAGTGGTATTAATTTGAGTTGTGAATTATCCGGTGAGATGGCTAAACGCTTTTATGCATCTTGGAGACGCTGTGATCAGGATGGAACGGCTTCATCATAAATTCGATTTAAGATAATAGATGACGAGTAAGTATATCTCAAACTATATGTTTGAAGTCTAACTAACTAATTCTTGACTACATTGTTTGTCAAAATATAGAAAATTTATGCTTGAGTGTGTTGCACACGGTGAATTGGCAACTGAAATAAGAGACAAGTGTAGAGAATACGAAGGTCCCTTTGCTATATGTGTGTTAACCGATTGGTGTGTAGCAATTGACGGGGGTATGTTTTCTGATGATATATCAATATGTTATTTATAAAATCGTAGTATATTATGTAACAATATTCTAATATATATATTTTAGAGAATGTGTCTATCAAGGATCATGATGATGATGGTGTGTCCCGTTTTATCACTGATTCACCGATTGCTGAAATTTAAACCTTTATGCATCTTGGAGACGCTGTGAGATGATGGAACGACTTCATCATCAACTCGATTTAAGATAATAGATGACGAGTAAGTATATTTCAAACTATATGTTTAAAGTCTAATTAACTAATTCTTAACTACATTATTTGTCAAAATATAGAAAATTTATGTTTGAGTGTGTTGCACACGGTGAGTTGGCAACTGAAATAAGAGATAAGTGTAGAGAATACGAAGGTCCCTTTTCTATATGTGTGTTAACCGATTGGTGTGTAGCAATTGACGGGGCTATATTTGTTTTCTAATGATATGTCAATATGTTATTTATAAAATCGTAGTATATTTTAATATATATATATATATATATGTATATTAGAGAATGTGTCTATCAAGGATCATGATGATGATGGTGTGTCCCGTTTTATCACTGATTCATCGATTGCTGAAATTTTAACCTTGCGCAATAGGTAAGTGTGTTTTTCTGTGTTGTCTAAATTGATTTATGAAGAAAAAAAAACAATATTTAGATTTGTCTAAATTGCGTAACAGTAATTTGCCAACTTTATCTATATCTGTTTTTTGTTATTAAAATTTCAGGATTAGGGAGAGATTAAATGGACTGGATACAGATGGTGTCTAATGGATTAGACTGAGTATAAGGATTCAAAATTGATAATCCAGATGCATTATTAGTTTTGTTAGACACATTTTTTGGTATTTACAAGTCTGTTTTGTAATTATTAATAAATAATAATTTATTTTAATTTCGGTTTAAATTACTAATCCTTCTTCCCAACCATTTCTTTGATTTTTTCAAAACATTATCCCCATGACTACATATAACTTTTTTGATGAGTTACATGCATCGAGACGAGATTGGAAAATACGTGTCAAAGTTTTGAAAAGATGGAATAAACCTGATCGACAAGGCTTACCAGGGATGAATTTCATTTTAGTCGATGAAAATGTAAGTATTATCTATATGAATATATAACTGTTTTGTCTATATTTATTGTTTGTTTGATCTCTTTTCAAAATTCATTGTATATAGGGTTGCAGAATTAATGCTTCATGTGGTAACCTCGCCTTTCCATATTTTTACCGTGTTGGGACTGAAGGACCGTGGTTTGAATTGTATAAATTCGGCTTGATATCATTTGAATGGAAGAATGAGGGAAGGACAACAAGACACAATTATCAGATCGTTCTCACTACTGAGACAGAAGTCTGAAGCTTACGACCATTGACAATGAATCCTTTTATGAAATTTGTCCCTTTTAGTGAGATATACAGAGTTCCTTACGCTCAGTTGTATCCTGTTGGTAAGATTAAATTATAATATTCGTTTTAGTGTTTTCATCTATAAATTTGTACATATATAGAAAAAAATATATATGAAGTTCATTTATGATAAAATTTTCTCTCATAATTGATTTGTAGATCTCATTGGTGTGATGGAAAATGTTAGCAACATTGAAACAGAAAATAACCCTGATGGAGAGATTGTTTAGAAAATAACTTTCACCATCACAGATCTCGTGTAAGTTATATTTTCTCTCACGATCACTATGTCTTGGTAACAAAATTTGTAACTTAAATTGTTTAAATCAAAGGGATGTGAAGTTGAAATGTATCGCATACGGAGAATTTGCCGCTGATATCAAAGAAAGAACCAAATGATTCACTGGTCCTTTTGCGGTTTCTGTTTTAACCGATTGGAGTGTAAATAAAAAAGAAGATATGGACAATCAAGCATTTGTCATTATTATTTTTATTTTGTCCCATATATGTTTTATATTGCATGTATATTTCCTATCAATCATTTTATGCATGTAGATGAAATAACTATCCATTCACATGAAGCAATTGGTTTTTCCTGTCTTTTCCTTGATCCTAACACTGATGATGCCCTGATTTTTAAGAGAAAGTAAGTAATCTGAAAATAATAATTGGAGAATTGTATATACAACGGTCTTACAATATGTATATGTCTCTTACACTTCCAGGATTCGAGAGAGGTGGAACACATTTTAGACACAAGTTGGAACAAGGATAAAAATGCACTTCTAAACCAGATATATATAACAATACTTAATGGAGTAGTGTTCTCTTAATTTCTTTGTATAAGTATTTATATAACTTAAAACTTGCGTGTTAGATCTTATTATTTATTTTGATATTTCTTTTTATTATATTTTCATCTACAATTTAATTATTCTTTAGTATTATTACTAATTATATTTAATAGTTGTTTATTATAATATTACTTAATAGGTACATACAATTTTAAATAATCTAATATACGATTGATATTAATCGATTTAAAATAATAATAATAAATATTTAGTATTTTTATGATATATGTTTATACAATATTTTAGTCTCAATTATTGAAAATATAAAAATATAATGATTATATTACAAAAAATTTTAAAATCAAATTATAATGAAATTTGTATGCTGATTGTGTCCGCGCGCCGCGGACAGATACCTAATAAAAGAAATAAAAATAATTTCGATGAAAGTGTAGAGAATAATCATACTTTCCTGACGGAAGTCTTATAGACTAACAGATAAAATTTGTTATGTCCCCATTTCATAAACTTTTTGTTGGCTATCATCTCTTGGATGAAATTCGAAAATGCTTTCTACATTACTCTGATTAAAAGAAGAACTTGAATTGTTGTTGGAGATGTTTTTGTATCATTTCTTCTAAACCTCGATAAAACATGTCGTATCTGTCTATATACATAACTCTCCAATCCAATCATGACGATAGAATCCACGCCAAAAATCACTGATGCGTTCATGAACATCCAATTATGAGCAATGGTAGTTGAAGATTGGTTCAAATACATGATGAAACCCACATATAACCTCTCATACTCAACCAAACCATCGGTCTTGATGTAGTTAAATTCCACCAAAAAAATATGACTAAACCAAATAAAGGAATGAGACAAATAACCCATTGTCGTCTTATTGCTCTTCCGGCTTCAATTCATTGGTGTTCAAAAGCCAAGCGAAGAAACAAAAACATAACCCAGTTATAGGCAAAATAAGAAATCTATAATTCCATCCCACAAAAAAGAAAAACACCGGTTTACTCATGGATCCCATATCCAAACTTGTTCTCCTTTTTTCAAATTGGAGAGGTCGACATTATAGTCACAGACTCTTTGATGTTGAAGACGACACATTTCGATGATGAAACGACAAATACCGTATGGAAATGGAAGGAAGCCGACACAAAAACTTGTGGATTGTGGCCAGGTTATGGTCGGAAGTAACCTCTTTCCGGAGGAGAAAAAGAGGATGTGGGGTTGAGAAGAAAACTTTGAACCCATCAATTGAGAACAATACATTTGGACACGAACGGAGACAGCAGATGCTGCTCTTGAATCACTATATCTCATGTAGAGAGATAAAATCTGGGTGTTATGAAGACTTACCCAAATCATGGATGTGCCCGTTAACAAAATTGAAGAGAAGTGAAATCGTAGAAATCCACCATACTTTGTCACGAATTTCCATTATTTTGATTTAAAACTGCACCTAAAGAATGAAATCTGAAAAGCCTAATGAAAGAGAAAGCCGACCGACGCTAAAGAAGCTGGCGCCGGCTGGAAACATGGAGAAACGGAGAAACTTTCTGTTCAGACAGATGATCGCCTTTGAGAGAGAGAGAGAGAGAGGAGAAGCCGCTGTAACTACACATGGGTTAGTTTGACAAATCAAAACCAAAATAAGTTAAATCTGGTCAAAACAATTTCGGATTCGACCGATTGAGATCTACAAATCGGTGAACCAAAAACCGTATCAAAATTAGATTTGTTTGTTAAGAATATTGAGAAATAATTTTTTTTTTCTTCTACCCAATTAATACATCACATGTGGCCAGTCGGGGCAATGATCCGAGAACCATCGTCGACTAGCTCGGTATGAATGATTTGGGAAAAAATAAGGCCTCTGGCACGGACTCCTTTCGCAAGA